AATTTATCTCCTGCTCTCAAATGCCTGTTCCTGATGGCAGTTTCACTTTTTTCAGAAAAGATGAAGGCTTCACGTGCACTTCCTTCAAGTTCTACCTCATTGATTTACTGATAAAACATTTCTGGGCTCAGAAATCTTGTCCCTGATAATGGAGGTTCCACGTAATTTCCCGTGTAAGTTCACTGATTTTAAAAACAGTTAATTGCTATGGAGGTGTACCTACAAATATTTTGGATTTTTAAAAAAATTGACCTAAAAATTGATAAAAATTTAGAGATCTGTGTCCATCTATACAAAGTCAATACTTTCCAACAACTATATCAAGAACAGAAGAGCAGCTCTGATTTCCAGTCCTCCAATTCCTGACACATAAAATGGTTTAACTGCTTTGATTTCTTACAGCTGTGAGCTGTTTTGCTTAATTAGCAATTCCTGTTTCATTATACTCATAGATAATAGAACTRTAACAAGCATTGCTGTTTTCACAAGGCCAGACAAATCCCTGGTGAGCTGGGAATGAAACAAGTTCTACCTACACTCAGGGCATATTGTCTTCTTTTGAAAGCAGGACATTTGCATCAATTATTTTTGTTTTAAAAGCAACTCTTAAYACCTCCCTAGAGAAGAATAAAATATTAATTTTTCTCCATGGATTTGAATATTTATGAGAACATTAAATAAATTAACATTGCCTTTTTTTTTGAGGAGTCTGGAAGTTCTGGAATTTACAGAAAACTAAAGTGCCCAGTTTGTCTGGGTATAAATTCCATTTCACAATGGCACCATCTGCTGGGAGATGAGCATGGCAGTGAGGAACACTGGGGTTAAATGTAGAATGACTGATAYCCAACACCTCCTCCAAATGGCAACATAAATTAAACCTGGAAAAGTAACTAAAGGAACCAGTAGACTGATAATGTCAGAATAACACTGAGGGTTTCACTTTGGAATTTTTACTTCTAACAGGAGCTAATTATTACTATTTGGTTTTACATTTCTTTACTGGTACAGTGCGACACAGAAAAGAGCATTAAAAATCTGTCTCGACTTGGATTTCACACAGCACACACTTCCATGTACCTCAGAAATTTGTTCAAATGAGAGAAATTCCTTCTTGCAGAGATGTGAAAGCAATTGCTGATTATCATCATGGTCTCTGAAAACACCTCCAACTTTCTCTGTGTGACTGATTCAGCTCCTCAGGGACATTTTTAGCTGCTGTCCACTATTGGATTAACAAATTCCTCAGTTCAAAAACAGCCATCACACCCTGTCAGTGTCACACAGTGCCCTTTCCTGGCAATACACCAGGATTTGTGTTCATTTTGTTAACATCCAGCATTTCCAGATGCAGCTGGAAAACAGCCCCAAGCTCTGCAGAAATATTCATCAGAGTATGAACACTGACAGGGGAGAGGTCAAAAACTTCTGGCTGGAGAGGGAATTAATCCTGGAAATATTTTCCCTTCTCTTACCATTATTTTAATATTGCTTGATGATTCCCCGAGCATTATTCCACATCGGTTTCATGRGTAAAATTCAGTCAGTAGCGACTCAATGAGCTGATCCAAGCTGACAGAAAATCTTTCAGCAGCCTGGGCAGACCAAGAGGCAGAATTTATTTGCTCCTGATCTGCTGCAGGTGCCCACACACATTGAGGAACTTTGCTGCTCCTCATGGAACTGCTGGTTAAGAGTGCACTGAGGGGCAGATACTCCTCAGATACACCTCAGAGTAAACCAAGAGAGTCTYGAAAAAGGCTGAAAAATAGATACAGTCATCCCTGGCATATGTGTTCTTTTTAAAATGTTTTTTTTTTTCACTCAATATGTTAAGTATTGTAGGAAAAAGAATAGTTTCACTTTTATCAGAAGTTAGGAACCAGACAAAAAGTTAAAATTACATCTATGAGTAAGCTGCATGATTAAGCAAAGAGAATACTCTATATTGCATTCTTACAGCAATGTGTTTCTGAACACATTTGTCTGGAACACTTTTCATGCAGTGATGTTTGAATTTATCCCAAAGAAATGCATTAATAATCCCAGTTTTGTTGTTTCATCAAAATTTTTTCTTTCTTTTTCCATTGTTGAGAAATGACTTAGAGGACAGACAAACCATTTAAAAATATTTCATCTTTGAGGGATTTGGGAGCTGCTAGGTCAATCAAATTCAGTACACAAAAGTTCCTTTCACCTGTTGACACATTCTTTGCAATCTGCAATCAATTGAAAACCATTCACCATATCAAAATTCTCATTCATAATCAGAGGAATGCACAAAATTTAAAGCTACCTTAAATACACATAGAGAAAAAATCCTTTCCTCTTCTTCTCATCCTCCAGAAAAACAATCCTCTCACAATCAAACACCACACATGTGAAATAAACAGCARACTTGTCCCCACAGCCTTTTTGAGTAGGAGTGTGAAAATCCAGTATTCAGTGACCTGGCTGTATCAGTGAAACCTTTTTCCAGACAAAACAAAAGCCTAAATTTAATTCATCACCAGATTTAATTGTCAATACATGTGATTTCTGGCAAACATTCTGCAGACATCCCCTGCAGCAGATGCTCCTSCAGAACCCAGGACTTCTCAGAAAGGGAGAGGGAAGAAAAAATTGGGAATGGGAAGAAATTTTATAATTCTGCTGCAACACATAAACTTCCTTGGAAAGCTGTGACAGAACAGATACAGTGTGAAGCCATCACAGCCTTACTACAGAATATTATCAGGCTATTTCCATCCTCAAGGTAAAGAACTGACCTTGTGAATGAGAACTTGGCTTATTCCCTTCCACCTGCTCGCTGGAGGCAGAATATTGTCACAGCACCAAGTGATACATATTTCCCTTCTTGACTTTTTAAACTTGTTTTTGCTGGATTACTTCTATTCTTCAATATTCTGTTCATTACTGTGTCAAATTTACTCAGTTCTCCTTACATGTACAAGCACATCAATTCCAGGCAGGAAATTTGCAAATCTAATAAAAAGGGAACTCCAAACTCAAACAATATCTTACTGCTGCTATAAAACTCTCTGTACACATGCAGAAAAAAAAACCCACAAAACAACATCCTCTTAGTCCAAAGGCAATAGCCAGCTCTGCCAGMAAAATAATCCACAGGGAAATAAATGTCTCACTTCCAAACAGAAAGCAGGGCTTTGGAGCAGCACTTGTCTTCTCTGGACACTCTGCATCCTGAGGGATCCTGCCCACCATTCSAGATGCTGTGCATGAAAGGTCCTGGTGACACTCAAACTTTATTTTGTAAAAGTTATTGCTAAATTCACAGCTCGTTCTCAGTGGAACAGCTCCCTGCTACCCACACACAGAATGAAACAGTTAYTAGAAAAAAGAAAAGCATTGGTTTGGCAGTGAGTACTGAGGGCTCTGATGAGGTTTTCTGACAAGGGCAAGCTCCCACAACAACAAAATGCACAAAAAAAAMMCCAATTCTCCCCCCAACAGCTGCATTTTCACACGTGCTTCCTGACAGCTGTGAAAAGATGTTCCACTCCTGTGGTTTGCTGACAGCGTTTCCACCTCAGAAACATTTGTGATTGTCTTAGAAGAAAGTTTAAAAATCCAACGAACCAAAACAAGTAAACCTCCACCAAAATTAAAAAAAAAAAAATAAGGAGGAAGGAAATGTACACAACGTTCTATGAGGAAATTTTGCAATGCTGCAACAGCTGAGGATTTGGGAGGGATCCTGTATGACCCAGGGAAGGACTGCAGGGCTTGTTTTGTTGCCTTCAAAGAGTGGAAAGAAATAAATAAGAAATTAAACAAGGATCGCTGTTAAGTCATTTTCTGTGTAAGCAATTGTACAACAGGGCCTGGAGTCCTGCAGAAGGCACCRCCCATGCATGGCTGATGATTACATTTACTTTGCCCAGAGTAAAGAACATCTACTTGCCAAGGCTGTCATTATGYAGCTTTGTATTAGCGATTACTTCATCAAATTAGTCATCAAGCTTGTTTTTGCAGTGGTGTTGAACTCAAGTTCTTTATGAGATTTGTACCTTCTAGTACAGGATTTCACTTTCTTACAGCTTAATCTTTGAAATTTAACCAAAATATTTTCTTAACAAGCTGGCTAGCTATAAATATTTACTAACATCTTAAAACCTTTATAGATTTGACACTTTTTTGACTATTTTAAAAAAATTATATTGCTGCAACAAACCCACCCAGTTCCACAACTCCCTTAGCCTCAGCTGTGTTATTCATTTACACTGTCTCCAGCAAACATGGGGCTCTTTGATATGGATCAGTGATTTCATTCTCTTGTAGGAACAGTGCTAGAAAAACTGCTCAGAAGGGGAAAATTGGGGGTTGGTCTCTTCTCCCAAGTAACAAGTGATAACTGCTCAGAAGGGGAAAAGTGGGGGTTGGTCCCATCTCCCAAGTAACAAGTGATAGGACAAAAGGAATCAGCCTGAAATGGCACAGGAGGAGGTTTAGATTGGATATGAAGAAAAGGTTTGTTAGGCATTGGCACAGACTGCCCTGGGAAGTGGTGGAGTCACCTGGAGGGATTTAAAGATGTGCAGATGTGGCACTTGGGGACAGGGTTTAGTGCTAGGCCTGGCAGTGCTGGGTTAATGGTTGGACTCAAGTTCTGTTCCAGCCTCAGTGATTCCCTGGYTCTGTCCTGCAGGGCAGGATGGCTCTGCCCCACATCTCCCAGGGGAAACTGCTCCTCGTGTCAGCTGCACAACCTTCACCTGCACCCCAAACTGCTGCTCCCCACCCCACTGCTSTGCCTAAATGTACCCGGGATGTGACAAATGTCTCTACAGCAACATYGGCACAGATCAGCACTGATCAGCACAGTTTCCGTATTTAGAACTTCCTCAAGTCCTAGAGCCACTCCTCAATCTCCTTCAAAAGAAACATCTCTGCCATGTAACTCCACCAGCTCTCCTGCTAWACATCAAGAAAATGTTTTTTCTCACAGTTCTGCTGTTTTCCTRCCGTAAGTCAAGGACATGCTTCCTTCATGTTACAAATCTTTCYAAACCAGAACCACTGTTTCTTGTCTGAAAGGTTTTCTTTTTCTTCTCTTAGCTCAAACGTCTCAGCAGATACAGAAAACTACTGCAAATGGCAAAGGTAGGTTCTTGGTTGCTGATTTTGAGGGATGTGCTGAAGTTGACTGTTACACAAAGAATGGGGGAGTGATTTAAGAACATCCAAATATTTAATGCAAAATTAAATCTTTTACCTCTCTATGCAGTGAGTCAGTTTAGAAGTTTCTATACAATGTTAATTGTCTCCTTGCTGGCCTGTATGTAAAGTCCAAATTCTTTAAATTGTTAAAACTCTTTTTTCCCCCATTAGAAACGTCGTAATTCATTTTAGTCRTGACTAGTTTAGAACCATTTTCTATGCAAAGTAAAGTTTTTCTTGCAAATTCATTTGTATAAGATCATGAAAGGAAACAAATTTGAGARAACATGAAGGTCCTTACTGTTACTATTCAAATGTTCAATTTACTTACATAAAGTTAGTTCTGTCTGTTTACAGATAGCCCAAATAAAATATTGCTTTTGCTTTCAGGTTCATATGCTACCTCTCAACCAGTATATTAGGTTACTTTCTCCTAGAATTAATACTCCATAATATTTATCTTTTATACTTCTATTACTTTAATTGCTGCTTATTATTTATTGCAAATTGTAGTTTGAAAGTATTATTGGTTTACCTGAATACATCTGTGGGCTTTGTGTAGCTGTGCCCTCTTTTGCATGAAGACATGCACTTCCCATCGTGTCTGAAGCTGCATTCTGGTTTTGAAAATTATTTGAGTTGCCTGCTAAAAGTATAATGGCTGYTTCAACCCAAGTAAGCATAGCTTGGTTCTCAACATATTTTGGGAAAAATCAGAGAGTTTCTTGGGTCAGAGGTGCAGTCAGCTCATTCAGAAGTTTTTTCTTTCCAGAGATGCTGTCCAACCCCAAGCTTGTACTGGCTCACGGGACTTTGAGCGTGGTGATGAAGCAGAATGTGACCCTCTCGTGCCTSTCTGAGTCTGGGTCTCCACCAGTCAGATACACCTTGTTCAAGCACAACCAGCAAGTGTCTGCTTTGAACAGCTCAGACTCGACCCCTGCACTCTTCCCGCTGACCATCAGCTCTGCCAGCGAYCTGGGGGAATACAAGTGCAAAGCTGAGTACAACATCTCCACTGGTGGAAAATACAGCAACAGCCTCAACTTCACCCTTTTAGGTACATTTTGCTTAGCATTAGTTATTGCAGGGGCACACAGCCATCTCCTGATGAGGAGCTGAGCTTTACTGCTGAGTTTACTCCTCAGGAGCGGGCAGTGCTCTCCTGCCCAGGCTCACAAGCCCTCCATCCTCCCTGCTCAGCTCTTTTGCCACTGTTGTCACTTCAAATCTTGCTTGGAGCTTGTCCTTTAAGTGATTCAGACTTTTCTTTTTACAGAGCCAATTTCCAAACCAGTGCTGAGCTCGCCCACCTCTCAYGCCAAGAAAGGCCAGAACGTGACCCTGTCCTGTCTCTCAGAAAATGGATCTCTTCCCATCACATACCTGTTCTTCAAAGGAACACAAAACATTTCTCCCCAAAAGACAATGCAGAAGAGGGAAGCAGCTGTGATTTTTCTATTTATCAATTCCCTTAGCGACTTTGGAACCTATAAATGCAAAGCTAATAATAGTTTTCCCAATAATTCAAAATACAGCAACGCTTTCAACTTTACATTAGCAGGTATGAACGAAAAGAGATCGCTACTGTTGACAAACCGAGATCACACAAAATTCAGAATGTTGCAACAATCCAAGTTTTTTAGCCAGATATTTTGTTCCTGCAATGGGATGTTCAAAATTTAATTTTTACAATTAAAAAAAGATTGTTTTAAAAATTAATGCAAAATCATAGAATTTCATACATTCTAGATAGGAGTAGAAGTTGCAGTGACCATGGAGGGTGTCTGTAAAAGATTCACGTTTACAAGAGATGCCTGGCTAACCTTGGGGAGACTCTGGTGTTATTTTTCTCTCTCCTCCTATGAAAGAGCCTTCTGGTAACCAGCAAGCTGCCTTCCTTCTGCTGGGGCACAGAGCCCTTGGCACTCTCCTGAGCAGTTAATCTGAAATYTGAAAGAAATTACAAGTCTTGATTTTAATTTACAGAAAATACTTGAAATATGGAACAACGCTTCATTGCATAAACTTTTTTTTCTTTTTGGCAGAAGAGAGAAGCCATTCTCAGCCCCTGATAATTTCTCTTGGCTTGATCCTGCTACTACTCATAAYAGGATTGGCTCTGGCAATTCCATTTTTCATAATTCCCTTGTATAAAGCAAGTGAGTTATTTGAATRTCTGTTTCATTGTCCAGAGGTCATTTATGTTGTCAATACATCTCAGTGTGTAAACATCACATTTTCAGTAGAGTAGCTCCTGGTATTTTAGGATGTTGTTAAGCTGCCAGACATTGCAAGGCCAAATCTCTGAGCTGTGTTTTAGATGGAAGATCTGGGGTGGGGGAAGCAAAACAACATCTGATGTAATACACAAAAGCACTGGAAGGAATTAGAGCTCACTGGAAAGGGAAATCTACTAAAATGTCCTTGGTCAGAGATAAATGATAATGTGATAATTTTTATCATGAAAATAACATTAGAGAGATCTCCAAATACTCAAAAAATCCCTTGAAACTGCTTATTTCCAATTTGTTTATATATATATATGGGTATATATATGTATACATACACATACATGTTTTTCTTTTACAATTTGCAGAAAAATTCAARTCTACCAGGCCCTCAATTGGCCTTACTTCAACAGTGAATGCAGAGGAGTTTGAAAATGAAGTTATATACTCAGAGATTGGTAAGTTCCTGTCACACCCCCCATAGCCAGACAGGTTTCTTYGGGTACTGCAAAGTCACTGGAAGGGGACACCTGCTGACCCTCCTGGCCCAGGCATTATTTGAAATCCCTCAGAATCCATATTTGGCATCACCTGTCAGCCATGCAGCCAAAACTGAAGCTGATTAAATGAACTAGGATTCAATTCAAAAGAAAAAAAAAAAAAAGGGGTATAGTGCCCATCTCCTAGCAGAAAACAGTGAGCTATATGAAGCTGTAGCAAAATAAAACTTGTGTAGGTCCTGCATTTTGTTCAAAACTGTTCAGTACTTTAGGGTTTTCAGGGTTTTTATTTAGTTATTATTTATTTAGTTCTTTATTCTGTCCTTCTTAAGACTGGCAGTACAAACTGAAATTATGAAGTAACAAGTGACTTACGTTAAGACATTTTACTACTTCAATTGCAGAAAACACACAAAAATGACATTACTTGACAGCCATGATGCCCTGCACTTGGAGTTTTCTCTATTTTCCTTATCTCTGAATGTCTCTTTTCAAGAGAAAAAAGAACCCCCCCAAACAAACCAATGGCAAAGGCATTAATGTTTCCCATTTACAAATATCAAGATGGAGCAGTCTCCAAACAAACCCTGCCTTCCTGTTGATGCAGCAGACAGAATTCTCACTGCCCTGCTGGGTCAGCTCAGTGCTGTGCTGCTGTTTATCCCAGGTCTCAGCCTGCAAGGACAGTGATAAGAGCTCTGATAAGGCCCATCCATGGGTGCTCCATGATTTATATTCAGCATGCAATCTCAATGGTTTGTTTCAACATTATAGGAAAAAAGTCTGATTCAAGATGTTTGTAATTAACTGCTGTCTTCATCTCTAATTCAGAACCTGTCAAACCAGAAGAAGAATACATCAACTTTCCTGTTATTAGAAGAGAAGAGGAAAAAGGTGAAAACTTCAGGCTGTAATACTGGAATACCTGATGCACACAAATATKTTTTGGGGGGACTTTGCTAGGTGGAGGCAGGGCTTAAATACTTTTAATTGCTCATGAAATTGCTTAGTTRCTATTGAAAAACTAAAATAACTTGAAAACTTTTATTTGGTTGGGAGGGAAAAATAAAGGGGAAAAAACCCCAACAAACCATTCTATGGCAAAAAATTCAACAGCCTCACTCTGAAACCATGCAGATGATCTTATAAGTAACCATGTTGCTGATTAATGTTAATTGTTTTCCGTGTATGTGTACCAAAAAAGCAATTATGAATTATGTTATTCTGGCTTTTAGCAGGGCAAAGGGCAYGTCCTACAGTCTATTCAAAGGTCCGCGTCAGAGACTGAGTACCAGGTATGACCTTTTTTGTGATGAACTTAATCACATATTTTTAAAGCATTTTCAGCCCTCAAATGTGCCAAGTACCAGTAAATTGCACAGAAAGAGATGATATTTAGATACAGGTTTCCTGGCCTAATCAGTTTGTAGATAGATACTGGAGCTCACTTTCTACTAGCAAGCAAAATCCCCAAGACAAAATATCTAAGGACTTCAACTTAAGAGAAAAACCAGAACAGATAGAATTACATGTAAAGCCYTCACCCAGAGCTAAGTTCCTGTACATTWACCAAYTCTCCTAAAGCAGAAACAGGATTGTGTACAAACATAAGATAATCATTTATATAATTCTCTACACAGCAATTATTAATGTTGTTACAAATACCTCATTTTTAATTAAGCATCATCTTAAGATTTTAAGGCAAGTTCTTGTGTTTCACGACACTGATGACTATCAGAGGCCACACAATTTGTACAAACCTTAAGCACTTTATACAGTGACTGAACAAGCTGCACAGGCACTACAAATCTGGAGAAGATTAGAAACACACAGATCTGTAKCTCTGTGACCTCTTGTATCTGATTTTAACAACTATGCTTAGGCATAGGAAAAATATGATCACACATTAGTAATTTTCCACCATTTTAGCCACAYAGTCACTCTATCCCTAAAAATGTTTGTAAAAAACTTTACCATTCATTGAATTCTATTCCTCTGTTACTCTTGATAAGGTATTTCTGATTTTTCTATTTATCAAGTGAAATATGAAGTAGCTTGTGTTTATGAAGCCATATGATTAAAATACATTCCTACAGATAGTACGATACTTACTAATGTTATTAAAATATTTAAGATTTTGAAGTCTTTTATATAAAATACTGTTTCCCAACAGAAATGATAACTGCTTCARCAATACAGATGAAAAATGAATTTTTAGCATAGGATGGAGCATCTTCAATATAATATTAAAACTGAAGATGCGARCAAGAATATGGTCAGCCTTGACAAGGGACAAGATTTTCTCTTTCCTTTTTTGAAGGTAACCTGGAAGACCTGGATTGGACAGAAAACAGATGYACCACCAAGTTTTAGCAGAGCTGTTGGCAGAGAAACCACTGAGTGGTTTTCCATGACAACGCTGAAACCWTTTCAGGCAAAGATGTATAAGAAAATCCTTTTATTCAACAAGTTTAAGCTTACACATTTTTGGCTGACGTAACATATTTAGTTAAAAAGTCCTTCAGCCTGGAAATGTGCATCATTTCCTTGATGGTGGTGTCTCTGCTTCTCAGCTGGACCACTCCATTCTCCAGAGTGCCATCAGTTATCAAGACCATGAAGGGAATACTCATCTCATCATACCTGCAGAGAAAAGAACACACCTGTTACTGCTTTTGGTATATGGAAAAAATCAGATAACTTAAATACAAATGACCATAAACTGTAAATGTTTCGCTTTGCTGTATTGCACTAAGTCCAGTGGGACACATCCAGTTTCTTGCTGTCATTCCTCGCTTTCCTGATTACATTTCTTTAAATTACTTAGTCACTTTAGTATATAAAAAKAATTGTATTTAGTAACCTATTAAAAGAGTATTTTTGTACAAACAGAATTTATCTTTTATCTGACTTRCTTTGACTGCAAATGAACAAATAGYTGCATTTACTTTCTCCCAGGAAACAATACTCACCACTATGCTCAAAATCCATTTTTTTCAAAAAGAGAGTTTTTAAAAGGCATTTCACAGCTCTGGGGAAATAACAGTAACATGTGAAAGGCTTGTACTTCACCTAATTTTAAAAACTATCATGCTTTCTGTAATTAAACTACTTGAATTGAATCAAGTCTCTAGTTTGGATTCCACACCTTCAGTCAGTTACTGCACTCAATGCTTCCCACTGAAAAAAAGGCCTATTTTCAGCAGTCCACAAAAAGGCATCTTTGACCTTCATAGCTTCATTTACACAAGACTGTTTCTCCTTACTTTGTATAAAGTTGTTCCAGAGATAACGGTGCAGTTTCCAGATAACCAGGCCATGCAGAAATTCCATTTTCTGTCAGTTCATTGAATAATCCTTGACAAACCTGTGTTCATTTAAAAACAAAAGGTAAAAGGCAGACTTTGAGAGTTTGAGACTCTACAGAGAGAAACCATTAAAACTATTAACCTGTGTGGCATTATCACCATTCCTAGCTGGTGTTAATTTGCCGGCTGAAATAATTTCTAATTAGAAARCAGCCTGRCAGTTACATCTCCACTTCTGTTTAAAATCATGCCAGCATAAGTTTTYTCCCTTCTGTGRGGACTGACTTCATGACTGAGTTAAATGAACTTTTTAAAAATCCTTCTGAACGTGTCACCCATGGGTTAAAATAATTTTCAAAGATTAAGAAGCYGTATTATTTATTTTTCTTAATTTTGCATGGGACAAGCATCAGCTCTATTGTATCAAAAGCAATGTATCCACAAAAGGAACTGGCTGCAGTGAATTCCTTTGGCTGTGACCCACAAACTGCACAGTGGGAGTACCAYGAACTCTGCACAACCAGGAATCTCCAGAAGTCAAAGCAGCAGCATAATTTTCCCCAAAAAACACAGTGTCTGAATTGGAACAGGTTGCATGGAGTGTCAATGCTCAAAATTAAAATACTCTCTYACAACATACCTGTCTCAGTTCTGTTGTTGGACCTTTTCCTAAATCCAGGGCCACTTTAAGAGGTGCTAAGCAAGGATGAAGCTTAAGTACCTAATAAATTTACAAAAAGCAACAGATTAGTAAATTTATTTATCATGCAATTCTAAACAGAACTAGCAAATAGTAATTTTTAAAATTAAATTAAGGTTCTTAACYTAATGTTTGAATTTACCACATTGTCTGTGGGGYTTGTACTTAAGACTTTTCTCACGTTTTCTACAYRAAGTTACCTTTCTCTGTGAATTTTTCTTTGCTGTTAATGGATTCTCAACCAGCTGCAGAGAATCAAAGAGATATGCTAACACTCCTCGGTCCAGATTCCCGTTCACAGACAGAACATGAGGGATGACATTCTTCCTTCCATCTCGGCCCTGAAGAGAAAAAAACCCACCATGGGAAACATCAAAGATTGTCCCAAAAAGCCTTTTGCTTGCTTTAAATGTATAACAAGGCATTGAACTCAAGCATCCTTATAACAAGTAAAATACAGACATTTATTTTCAAAAGTTACCAGCAATCTTAGCAGTGTAACTGTAACCAGGTAAGACTGTAACAGTGGGGAAAGCAGAAGGAAATCCCTACATAACCCAGTTCTGTAGAAATAAACTGCAAAAGCAGGAARGACAGGACTGTCATGAGAAGGAAAAGGTTGCAGTTTACTGGCAAAATACAAAGTTATTGTGATTTTATCTGTTCAGCCCATCTCCAAATATTGCCATTTACCAGATGTTGTCTCTCTCCAACATATTCAGTGGAGAGGTCTCCCTCAGGTCCATCCCCCTTTTTTCTACAAAGCCATTTTTATAACCCATTAATCTACAAAAMCTTCTGCATACATGGAAGTGAACAAGYTAAGCAAGAGCAAAAACATTTATAGGTTCTCTTTGATGCAAACTGAACAGTGCAAAACACAGTTTGAGTTTGTGTTGACATCCWCGCAAGATACAGGTAAAGGCTATGCTACTGACAGCAGCTGTCTGGTCAATATAGCTCATTTCTAATTCTGAAAGAATTCCTTGCAAAAAAATGAACCAAGTACCAAAACACTATTTTATCAGCTTTTGAAAGTGAAGGTGTGACTGCAGATATCAATGGTAGCACTTTTGCAGCATATGAATAGAAAGCCAGCCACATGCTAAGTAACTGGACCAGCAAAGAAACCGATTTTCCCACACATTACCATCTTTATCAGAAAAAATGTTTAATACATTAAAGCTTACAAGTAATTTTGAACTGTCTCCTGGATACAGCTGTAACAGCTCAGTATCACCAAGGTTCTTCAGTGTTTCTATTGTTTCTGTCCCCCAAGGAAAGCGGTAATGCAACTTAAATCCTCTTCTGCCTTCTTCATCCTGAAAGTCGCTGCTGCYGAAGTTAGATGGGCCTACAGCAAACTGAAAGTAAGAGGTGTAAGAGATGATCACTGCTGTGAATCCCGTAGTAACTACAAAAATCAAGTCTGAAATGCAAGMTGAAGTCTGTGACTTTAGCAAAAGCTTTTTTTAAGTCACAGCCAAAATCTCTTGGTTGTTTTAKGGTATTTTCACCTCACATCACTGACAAACATAAAACATTTGCCTTCTGCAAGTCATGTTATAAACTACTTATCAGGTTTGTTTATCAACTTCAGTACCTTTTCAATATCCACGAGATATACATATTTCAGTGCCTAGAATAGGCCAGCAATGTAAGGCCATAAAACCAACCAGGGTGACTATCCCCTCTCTGAGAAATAAAGGAGCAGGCCAAGAATCCTCCTGGATATGCTGTTGTTACCTTTCTCCACCACTGGAGCCTCTGGCGTAGCCAGTAATCGAGCCACTGTCCTGCAGTTCTGGGAGAACTAAACCATGCAAGCAAAGATGTGGTCCTCTCGCCTATTCTTTAAACAACAGCAAGGGCAGCAAGTTAACACCTTTGGAAATAACAGGGGAAAAGCAAGGGACAACATTCAAAAATAATCCAAAATTTGGAACAGCTGGGGTAGGTATGAAAAGGGATTAACTCCTCTATTACTCTACCTTGTAAGATTTCTGTTGTGTTGTTCACTTTCTGGAACAGAATGTTCACTTTCTG